ATTGTATTATCAATAGATATATCAATATATATTGTATTATCAATAGATATATCAATATATATTGTATTATCAATAGATATATCAATATATATTGTATTATCAATAGATATATCAATATATATTGTATTATCAATAGATATATCAATATATATTGTATTATCAATAGATATATCAATATATATTGTATTATCAATAGATATATCAATATATATTGTATTATCAATAGATATATCAATATATATTGTATTATCAATAGATATATCAATATATATTGTATTATCAATAGATATATCAATATATATTGTATTATCAATAGATATATCAATATATATTGTATTATCAATAGATATATCAATATATATTGTATTATCAATAGATATATCAATATATATTGTATTATCAATAGATATATCAATATATATTGTATTATCAATAGATATATCAATATATATTGTATTATCAATAGATATATCAATATATATTGTATTATCAATAGATATATCAATATATATTGTATTATCAATAGATATATCAATATATATTGTATTATCAATAGATATATCAATATATATTGTATTATCAATAGATATATCAATATATATTGTATTATCAATAGATATATCAATATATATTGTATTATCAATAGATATATCAATATATATTGTATTATCAATAGATATATCAATATATATTGTATTATCAATAGATATATCAATATATATTGTATTATCAATAGATATATCAATATATATTGTATTATCAATAGATATATCAATATATATTGTATTATCAATAGATATATCAATATATATTGTATTATCAATAGATATATCAATATATATTGTATTATCAATAGATATATCAATATATATTGTATTATCAATAGATATATCAATATATATTGTATTATCAATAGATATATCAATATATATTGTATTATCAATAGATATATCAATATATATTGTATTATCAATAGATATATCAATATATATTGTATTATCAATAGATATATCAATATATATTTTATTATTAATAGATATATCAATATATATTTTATTATTAATAGATATATCAATATATATTTTATTATCAATAGATATATATCAATAGATATATCAATACATACAGTATCCTGAGATAACAAATACAAGTAAATCTTCTCGAAAGTTAGCATCCATATTTTGAAACGTGTTCAAACGCAAACCCTTAAATATATCGACTTAAAAACAAAGTGACTTATGCCACTTTCAAAATAAACGGCTCATTTATAAAAGATCGATCGGGGCGAATGTAAACGCTTCGCTATAAATCGCGGTGCTCGATCCGAGGCGGAGGTGTATCGATCCTTTGCAACAGGGATGGACGATTCTTGCGACGAAGAAAATAGATTCGTAGATTCGTCGATCAGAGGTGGACATTGCACGAATGAAATTTGACATACTATTTTTAATATTTACCGAAACAATGCGAAGAGAAAGAGTCGCGAATCTAGAAGCAGTTCCTCGAAAATCGAAGAATCGCCGTCACACGTGTTCGAGATTCCGTTCGCATTACATTAGTTCGCAGAAACGTGATCCCGGACACTTTCCCCGGCGACTGTACGATGATCCGACGTTGTTATTCGTGCATGTCCGATCGAAATTGTTGCGTATCTTGAGCAGCAGCCCACTTACATAAAAGTGGCACGACCGTCGCATCGTCGGGGGGATGGTACGCTCCTTTGAATGCAATATCGTAGCTATAGATGCTAGCGTGCTAGATACGAGCATAGCAAATCCGATTCTTTGGAGAAACTTTTCGATCTAAATTAAGCTCAAACGTGACACACTTGGAACCGCAAGTTCAGCTTTTTCGACCCTATCAGCGTGGCTGATATCGGTCCGCTTCTGACTCGTCGCGTTTGAAAAATAGCAACGGGTTCGGACAACTACGTTCTCCGTAGCCTATACTATACGAAATTATCGCTTTCATTTATTTACACGCAAACACAATTCGACTTTGCTTACGCAAAATACGGTGTCGCTATCGTCGCACGTACGCAACGCTGCTGCTCGCCGTGGTAATCGGGCATACAAGCGATTAGCTCCGACGGCTCTTTCCTAATGAGATATCGGTTGACGCATTTCGTTTTTTCATAGAAATTCGAGATTTTTAGTTCGATAAATTCTTTGAATACCACAATCGTGCAATTGATAAGTAACGGAAAACTAAGACGATTGCAGGTGTATTAATCGCTTCGATTCTTTTAGACGTGGTAAACACGTGTGAACAGTAGTGTTGGAAACATGTGCCAACGAATACGCCCCGTAAACTAGCATAAATTCGAGATGTCCGACAATCGAGAGCCCCACCCTTAAGAGGCTACGCGCACCCATGACCCTACCATAAATTGACCGAGAGCAGAATGGCGTCGGATTATCTGCCTTTGGTTTCTTGAGGAAAAATATGCTGTCGCTCGAAATACAGTAATGTCTCTCTAATTGACGCCTAGATTGACCGCAAAAATTTTGGGAAGAGAAGACACGATTATTCGAGCCTGAGACATTACTTATTACTTAGTAATGTCTCCCTAACTGTCTTAACTATCTCCCTAACTGTCCTAATGTCTCCCGGTGTCTTCTCTTCTCAAATTGTCCATTTTTGTGCGCAATCCGAGCGTCAGTTAGGGAGACATTACTGTACAGTTTGGGAAGAATTACTGACAATTTGGGAAGAGAAGACACGCGATCACTCGAGCTTGCAGCTCGTTTTTATAGTTCTTGACAATTCATAACTATGGAAACAAACCGCAAGGCCCGAATAATCGTATCTCCTTTTTCCAAACTGTCCATTTTTGTGGACAATCCGAGCGTCAATTAGAGAGATATTACTGTATTACTCATTAAATACTAAATACATACTATACTATATAGTATAGTATATATATACTAATATATACTAATATATATACTAATATATACTAATATATATACTAATATATACTAATATATATACTAATATATACTAATATATATACTAATATATACTAATATATATACTAATATATACTAATATATATACTAATATTATACTAATATATATACAAATATATACTAAATATATATTATATATAGCGACGTTATTGTCCGATTAACAACGTCTCCCGCGTTACTCTGGTCTAAACTGCCAAACGAAGACAAACTGTAACGGAATGCTCTCTCTCCCCTGTTCGCGGACATGCGACCATAAACGAGCTGGCATAACCGATGCACGTGCAGGCGATATCGAGGAGCAAGCCGTCGCGCTTCGCTTTATCTCGAGAAAAATGTCGCGGCGGAACGTGACCGCGCGAATTGTCCGCGCGGAAAATGCCGGAAAATCGCGGCGCGGAATGAGTATTTACACACGTGGTGCATGCGGGCTGGTCGTGAATCGACGCGTACCGTTCACAGTCTGCAATTGCGCCGCGGATCACGTGCTACGAGCACGTTCGAATCCTGGCATCGTCTGGGCTGTCGAACGGGAGCGTGAAACGCCACTTTTGGCGGACCGGAGACTCGAAATATCCGGGCAACGTGGCACCGATATCGTGTCCCGTCGAACGATCATTCAAGGCAGCTTGCACAATTGCTTGCGTGCCCGTGGTACACTTGCGTCGCTTCGCGTCGCATCCGGCGCGTTGCATTGTCTCGCGTCGCCAGTCCCGACTCGATTCAAAGTCGCCGCGATGCACGTGTTGTTGTTCCCGCGGCATCGATGGCGACTCGAGGAAACGAATTCTTTGCTCGTTCGTTTTTACAGCAACAGGAAATTGGGGTCCGAAGCGCGTTCGTGGCGGAGTCGATCGACTGCGCGGTTCTCTTGAATTTTATGCGCGAGACACTTTGGTGATTTTTCTATTTTGTTTGTCGATCGTTTCAGCGATTGAGAGACTGCCAAGGCTCATCTTCTGGCCTCGCCACACGATACGATGAGAACTTGAACAGGAGTGTAAACAAAAAATGTATAGAAATGTTGCTTTTTTGGGGGGTCTAGGTATCTTAGACTCCATTTGGCGTAATACTTCTCTATATAGAAGAATGTTTTAATACTAAAGCAATTTAAATATTAAGTATTCCATTAGAAAAGATCGAAGGTGACCTTTATGTCTTGATAAAGAAGCAAAATTGATTTTAATAGAGAACTTTAATTTTTAAATAAGACAGCAAATATTTTATGAGTTATTCGAGGCTCGCCCCGTATATTATAATAAAAAATCGCTGAAATAAGTGCTGAAATCGCTGAATAGATATATGCCTGTTATTTCGACGAGTAAATGCTTTTAATAAAGATCGTAGAGCGTCGCTGACAGTAATAACGAACAGACATCGATTCGATCGAAGTCGAGATTTCCGAAAAGCCGTTAAAAAATTCTGCGAACTGTATCGCCGTGCACCGCCTCGCGAAGTCACCTTTGCAACGATTCGAACGATTCGTAAGCGACATTAACAGGTGCGTTCCTGAAAGTGGATGCACCGCCTCGCGACACGCTTGTCTAGAAGCCGGCGGCGCGGCGCGGCCATAAATACGCCGGCCGTAACACGAGCCGTTTGAATGAAATGTCAAGAGACGACGCGTGGGCCCCGGATAAAAACGAGCGTCCCGAGGATCGGCCTGTGAAAAGTTGGCGAAAACGGCCCCCAAATAGATCGGAATTAATAGAAGATCCGTGACGATCGTGGATCCGATTTCGTCGGGGGACACGCGGCTGTCGCAAGCCTCGATTTCGAGAAACGCGGCGGCCGCCGCGCAACGATTGCGTCATCAACTGATACGAACGACAACGCGGAAAACCTTTCTCTCCTCGTTGGCCTAAATGGCCGATCGTCTATGCACCACGCGCTTCCCTCGTGTATTACCGCGTATTTTGGCGCGACTGTCTTCCTTCCGGGTGGCCTTTTACCGAGAACTATGACACACGCAATTAGACGCCTCGCGGTTCGTGGGACGATATAGCGGAGTCGTGCGAATCAAGGACTCACCCTAGATACCTTCTTCTTGGTGTAGACCTCGTCATCCTCCGAGGCCGTGGCGAAATTCAGATTTCCCTCGCAGTAGCCGGCGCCAATTCCCATTCGGCAGATCTCGTCTTTGCACGATCTACCGTCCAAACTGCGAATTCAAAGATATTTCCAGTTAAAAGGGATTTCTTCTTCGAGCCTTGTTATACTTGTAATACGGATTGAAAACCGAATCGATGGGCTTTATCGTAGTCAGGACCTTCTTCCCTTTTTGCAAGGGCCTTCCAAGAAAGGACTGCCCTATTGTCTACGGTGTCTACACTTTCACGTTACGTATATGTATGTAATTATACATAACGTATATGCCAGTTTTATATGCTCAATATTTCCTAATTTTTTGTAAGTTTATAAAAGTGTTGTACTGCAAAGCAAAATATGAACAAAAGTATATACTTATTATATTATTTTATGTATATCGGTGTATGCAGTGGCGCAGTAACTGTTATTAATTACATAACAATCGATATACGATCCAATTTTAATTGCGTATATTCGCATTATCTACAATTATGTATGATTAAATAAACAGCTAAATGTATACATTAAACGCATCTACGTTAATTATAATTATGTGTATATAATGCAAGCGTGCCACGCAATTGTATATAAATATGTGTATTTTCACAACGGCATAATTGTCTGCACACTTCATACCTATTGTTAGTATGTATCTTGTGAATATAAAGGACTATAATTTGTAGTAGAAAAAAGAGGATAATTGACACTTCGAATGGGGAAGAACGTTCGACCAGTGAAATATTTTTATTTTAATATTCTGAAATATGGAAAAAATATTTGATACGTTTGAAGCTTTTCTTGGCAGTGAAAGTAATTTCGAGGAGGAAATGGTATCATGATGCGATAAACCATAATGTTTGACATAGTAGATCTGCGCTTGTTACACAATACATAGTACAGTAATGTCTCCCTAACTGACGCTCAGATTGTGCACAAAAATGGACAATTGGGGAAGAGGAGATACCATTATTCGAGCCTTGCAGCTCGTTTTTATAGTTGTTGACAATTCGTGACTATAAAAATAAACCGCAAGGATCGAATAATCGTCTCTCTTCTCCCTAAATTGTCCATTTTTGTGGACAATCTGAGAGAGACATTAGAGAGACATTACTGTATATTGTAAACTGAATTCACGCTATTTTCAGTATCTTCAAAATTATCATATTCTTGTACTATTTTAAGAACTTATTGCAATAAATAGACCTTTTGCGGATCTTTCCGCACGTCGCAATTTGCATCGTTTTATATAAACCTGGACGAGAAACAAATTCCATTTGCCAACTAGACAATTTCTTATCGTTTACTTCGATATATTTTCAGAGTCTGTAAATGCCATAATAGAACATTGAAAAATCAAATGTGAAACTTATTGAAAAAAAGGAAAAAGCGAACGATCGAGCAAACGTCGGAGATTCGATCTGTCCATCGAGGCTGCTGGTCCAGGCGGACAATAAAAGGAAATGAAAATGTTTTTCGAAGCGACCGATTGCGTAACGCTTCCCCGTGAATGTTTCCACACGGTTTGTAATTGTTTGCGGGCAGAATCCGGAGTTAAACGACACCGTACGGTTTCAAAATAATCCTGAGAATTTGATGGCGTCAGTCACGTAAGGATCGCGAATTCTTGCCGCGATTGCACCGTGACGCACGCTGTTCCGACGAAAAGAAATTTCTCGCGACAGTTCCGTGAACAATGGCAGTAACGGCACAAAGGATGTCGTGTTCGGGCAACTTTCGTCGCTTTCACATTCTCACGATTTTCAACAAAGTCAACCTTATTAAACTCCGCTTTGCATCGTCGAAAAACCTAAACGTTTTTGCTTTCGAAACGAGCCGATAACTCCGTCGTTTCGTAACCTTTTTTGCTTAATTGACGGCGCGACCAATTTCTGTGCCTCCGGATTACTTTTTGCGCAATTAACTTTATAATATAATATAACATTATAATATAATATAATATAATATAATATAATATAATATAATATAATATTAGTATATAATATCGAGAGATATTTGTCAGTGTTACCGAATGAAAAATTCTAGTTTTACATTTCCAATAAATTTAACAAAGCGTTACAATTTCGATAATAATTACATTCTCTTGTTCTTTTAGTAATACATATTAAATTCGTGTATCCAAAAGCAAACGAAATAAAATAACAAACAAATTCAATATGCCTTGTCAAAAGAATGAAAACGTTTAATGCGACATATTGAAAGAATAAAAGAATTAAATATGCCTTATTACAAGCTAAATTATATTATTATAAGCCTATAAGCTTATAAGCAATAAAGTTGAATTTTGTACCCTCGAAAAATTAGAATGTTGAATTCGGCTGCTTTTCCCCGTGTTACGCGTCGCAGCGCGGCGCGGCGAGACTTCCCTCGTGCAAAGTTACAGAACTTGAAATGTCACGTGCAATAACCGCGATATAGAATTTCCGGCCGAGCCAATGGCAAATCGCTATCCAGTCGCGCAAGGGGTTACCAATGACGACCACGTGTCGATCGATTAGCGATCGACTGGTGGAATATCTCGAGGCGGAAACATTCAGCTCTCGCCCACGGTCGTCTCCGACTTTACGTAACGAATATCGTTGCGAGCGTTTCAGTCAATAACCCGGCGGAGCACCACGTCCACTTCAGCCCCGTTATAGATTTTACTCCGTAAATAGAGTCGACGGAAAAAGGCACGAGCCACCGCGCATTATTGATAACTCCAGCAATGTCGTTCCTCATAAAAAATTGCAGCCGATAACAGACTCCGCCGTCCGAACGCTGTGCCGGCGCGTAACGAACCTTCGGTGGCCGCACAGAAGTTCGGATATCGATCAACGGCTTCGAGATTCGCGTGCGAGACTCTTGGTTTTATACAGGGTGTCCCGTAATTATGCTAACAACCGGAAAGGGGTGATTCCTGGGATCATTTGATGTAACTTTTTCCTCGGCGAAAATGCAATTCGCGGTTTTGTTTGCGAGTTATTGACGAAAAACAGTGACCAATCAGAGAAACTGGGTGCTCGTTGGCTCGGCCGATCTGCTTTCTCCCACTGAAAAATCTTTGTTAATGTTATTTGCGCATCCGTCGTCTTTCTGCCACCTTTTCCACGTTGTTACTTTTCTCACTGTTCGAGAGGCGTTCTGTCAACGACTCGGTTTATTGTAGGAGCACACTGTATTTATCTTTTACAACGTATACACGATAAGCTATTTCGAGACGCGAAATGCAAATTACATACGCAGCTTTGGCAATCATCGTTCTATGAAGCATCCGTCACGCTTTCGGGTCGTGACCGTTGTTCCTCGAAACAAAGACACGATCGTCGGTTAATCTTTGAGATAATATTTTGATCGTTTCATTCGTTTGTTCGCGGGAAATACGCTTTAGTAGAAGAGAAGGTAGGAGGGAAAAATAAAATAAATTTTATGCATAGAAAATATCATCGCTTATAAAGGTTAGTAAAGCGATCGTTGTACAATATGCTGCAACGATCGTTTTAGACTTCCTATACACGGTTAAATTACAATGGTGTAAACAATTGTAGACTCGAAGCAACTTTTTTACACGTGTTACCGATATTTAAACGAAACCAAAAAAGCTATATTCGTACATTTCGATTTTCTATCGTTTAAATATCACTGGAAACGTAAAAGTTATTTTTCGCCTATAATTATCCACAGCCGGTGTATGTACCTATTTTCGCGTGTACGGAACTTTGTAATCTATCGACGCGTAAAACTAAAAAATATGGTGAAAAATAAGTAGTTGAAAAATGTGTCGTTAGAAAGTTATAAATATTCACCGTAAATAGCTTACCGGATCGCGGCTCGACGATAACCGTGGAGTCTACGTTTGCACGTTTACAACGTAATTAGTTATTCGAAACGTGAGGAGCTCGGGTGTACACATGCATATGTACATATGACGTGACTGCGCGAAAAATTTCCCCGCCGCGACACGTGCCGAGTTTTTCTCCGGCAAGTCAAACATTGCGTCGATCACGTAACACGTATGATGATCCAGCAACGTGGAATTCTAACGTTCCAAGGAAAAACGCCCTAGACTCGCATTTCTCGTTAACGATTCGCCCGGCAACTAGTTATAGTTTGCCAGCCGTGGACTTCGCGTTCGAAGGCAACATCCTTGTCAACGTTGCTTGAATTACGAGCCAAATATTTTGAACGTTCGCTTTATCGTTCTATCCAATTATCTACATTTTTTACAAACCCGACTCGTGTCTTCGTTCCGAACGCAGAACCGATCTCGATTACTTTTTTCGATCTACAAAATAGTACAAATATTTGCTCCATGAAACTGCACATACGCGCACGCACACACATCGAACGTTATCCAACATCAATATTTTCTATTCCAAGAATTAAGCAACACAAGATTATATTATCGATATTATTTCGAGAACAAGAAAGTGTTTCAGCAAATATTGTATTCTCTTGGGTGTATCGTGAAAGTCCTAGTCAATCAATCATGGAGAAGTTCCGATATAATTAACGAGATGGAAAGTCACGCGTATTCGAAACGATAATTCATGATTTATTTGATTGCACTTTGCACGATCGAGTTGGGTGCAAAACGCATCGTTTACGGACGCTGCTGTTGGTCGAAGGTATCCCGTCGAAGGTTTTTAACGACGGTCGTTCGCGATGGGAGGCCATCAATAATTTATACGTTTACTAATTAGAAACGTTTCGTCGTCGAGTCGACGCGGAAGGCCGGAGACTGGCCTGCGACCTAACCGGTGGCGAATCTTTGCGCCGAGTTTTCTAGAACGAGAGGATGTTCGCGATGATCCGCGATGAAACTGCGATCGACGTCGATCGGCATCGAGAAAACATTCCTCCGCGATGCTCGAATACCGTGACGCGAAGCTTCTATTTATACGTTATCGTTCCCGCTTCGTGATATAATTACATTTTACATTATATAATTGGACACCAACGTGTTACATAATTCGTCCACGCTGCGGCGACCAATCGCAGCCGTGTTGTTCCTCCGACACGGTTTACCGGAATTGCAGCGACAGTGCAAGCAACGCAAAGGACGATACGCGTGCT